GAATTCAAAATCATATGCATTTGGTGCCCAATTTATACACTTTGTACTATCCTGGCTGGTAAATACCTGTTTCAGATGTAGAAGGTGTAGAGCATAGGTGAGAAGCATTCTGATGTTTTCCTCAATTAAGGTTCTAGTGGCCTTTCATTGCTTCTCCTTCTCCCCACATTCCCACCCCAGGGACCATTCTTACATTAAGCAGCTGCCCTAGATTTCTTGGGGATACTAGACCTCTTTCCTAGCAATTTCCAGCGCCTCCCACCATTTCTGGCTTATAGAAGGGACTTGCTTTCCTCTCTGACTTTCCACTTCCCTGCAGGAAAACTGATTGGTTTTGCTTTTCTCAAGCAGGGCAGGGCAGTATCACTGGTATAGAGAGACTTTGTAAGGATACAATTAGTTGATGCTTCCCAATATGGAAAGGCATGATCTTTCTGTCTATAGCCACACTTTGCAGTCTAGGTCTGCTCCTATGGAAGGAACCCTGGAGCACAGGGGAGACTGCCCCCATAACAGGATGGAAATAGTAAGTGTAACAAATGACAGTGCCTTTCCACGCTTCCCTTCCTCCTCTGAATGAATTCTCCACCCAGCCAAAATATGTCTCCAAAGCTATTTGAGAAATGTGAAGCTTGGCTAGCCCATAGGACCTATGGGCTTCTATACCAAGGCTGCTCATATAGTATAGGTATGGAAAACCATGGATTTCAAATCTGTAAATGCCCTATGCTGATACCTTACAACTGTACCCCCATGAAACTGGTATAACCAGTGTCCTTGTTTTATAGGGAAGGTTCTCCAGTGCCAAATGTTGCTTAGCCTTCCTGCCATTCTCCCAGGGAGTTCAAATTGGATTCTTCACCTTCATTATCTCAGGAGGGGGGAGGGGAAGTATTGCCCACGCAGTATCCCAGGAGTCATGAAACCAGTGTTTTATTAAATGCAACATCGTCATTAATGCTGAACTTTATTTCCAAGTCCATTGGAGGCAGAAGAGAAAACAATTCAGGTAACCAGCTTTGCAGTTTTACTGTGTTCCTCTGTCTAGTGCTTTCTTGTTTCTAGGTTTTGTGATCTAGGTTTGGATTAGGGATTCATAGTGGGAAGCTCCATGTTCCTGAAACCTGGTAATTATTTTGAATTAAGGAGAAGTACAAGAGTTTCACTTCTCTAATAAAATGTCAACAACATACCTTACCCTTCATGCTTTCTGCTCTGTCTTAAGCATTTTTCATGCAGTAACTAGTGTAATAATCATGAAATTCTAGGCATTAAGTCCTATGCTAACAGGTAAGGAACCAGGTCTGCTAAGATTGACCTGTGCTACCTCATGTGTGCTATCTGTCTGGGGGTGGGGAGTGATATCACCGTCTAGTAAAGGTCACTTGAACGGGCCATTCTCCCTGTGGTTTCTATTTTTTATGTACATCATAAAAGATGGCAGAATGCTATGAGACTACAGGCTATGAAGCTGTAGGGTCCTGAATCTGGTATTTCTAGGGTAGGGATTTCTGAGTTTTGGCATCTTCACCTCATAAACAGGAATAACACCTCTGCTTCATATTGCACAGGAAGTAAGGAGATGATAACGTGAGGAGATGGCAGAACATGCTATAATTTTAACAACCAATAACAGATGGCTTTAGAAAGCTTAGATTAGTGAATTCCAGACATTCTTATGAGCCATACTTGCAGCCTCCCAGGAACACTCCCTGTTTCTCTCCTGTAAAAAGCTGGAAAGGTGTTTAGTTTGTGTTGAGTGGCTCTTTGACCAAGTATGCTTGTTAGTTTCTTTTGAATTCTAGTGTGTTTGTTTGTTTTCACCAACAAAGGTAGTAGAGTGCAGTGGGACCCTCATGTGATCCAGACTGAAGCTCTGCTGTATACTAGCCATATATTCTTGGGCAATTTATATAACGTCTTCCTCCCAGGATGGATGTGAGGCCTGAAGAAGGCTGGTGCATGTTAGTCTCTGATGAAGGACAGCTGTTGCTCTTATTAAAGACTTAACATATTCATATTGTGTGACTGCTTTGAGGGGCTTCTTTTATCACAAGTTAGCCAGTTTTCTTTAAGCAATACAAAAAAAAAAGTAATTTTATTTTAAGGCAATTTCGATGACTTTATACAAGTTCCTTAAGATCTGAGGACATCACTTTACTCATTAATTAAAAGAAAATATTCATGTCCACTTCGTGGAATTGTTGAGAACATTAAATGAGGTAATTTAAAGCACAGAAACCACGGGAGCTTAATATGGAGTAATTGTACATTAAAATACTGTGTGCAATTTTCATTTTAAACCGCATATTTTAAAATGGTTTTTCCTTTGAGGATCCTCAACAGATTAGAATAACTGTTGAAGCTGGGACCAGGCAAGGAAGCAATCCTATCTAGCCTTGTCTCTCTGAGGCACCTGCTCTGAACCAGGCCCACCCCAAACATTTGTCTGGCTCGGGGAAACAGTATGAATGAAGACATGCCTATCATGTGTCTAAATATTTAGAAGTGATAAATCAGGCCAGCAAACTGTTAAACCAAGTATGTTGCATCCTCTGATGATGAGTTACCTGCATAATGAACCGGATGGCCAGGTTTGAATTGAGGATTCATGGATGACTTGGAATTCTGTGCCAAAATATGACTGGCCAGGAAGCGTGGGCCCCTACACCCTTTTCTCCCCACCTCTGGCTCCATCCCATAAAGAGAGGGGCCTTGCATGCTTGTACATGGACACCCTAATCTCCAAGTTCAAGCTCTGTTCCTATCTTCCAACAAATAGCAGCCTTTTCACTCCCACCCGCCCGACCATCCAAGAAAGAGTACACAAGTGATTGTCTAGTTCTTCTTGGGAAGCCAGACCTGGAAAGAGGCCACACAGACCTTGGAAGTAAGATAAGAGTTCAGAGCTGTCTAGGCAGAATGTTCTGGGGTCTGACATCTCGGAGCATGGTCTAGAAGTGAGGGAGTCTGTAGACTCTGGGTATACATATCCCCTTCACTTGGGAGTTTCTTGTCCTATAAAGAAGGGAACAGTTGACAGAGTGGGCCCAAACTTCAAAGACCCCTCTTGCCTGTGTCTAAGGCCAGTGTTGCTCTGAACCCTGCGGCTCCGAGGAGAACAACCTGTGAGTTATTTGTAACCTGTGTGTGAGCTGATAACATTTTTTACAGCTTTTCATATTTATACTCTTGTGTTTCTCCAAGCACCCTTTTCAATACAGTTGAAAGTCCCAATTCCTACTTCCAGCGTTAGAAGTATGATGTACTTTATTGCCTAAGATTTGACCCCATGGGAGCTCTGACAGATTCTTTCTGTTGACCACTGAGGCTACTAAGTGGGGAGAAGTTGTAGCCAGCTTGGTCCCTGACCAAGGGGAGATACCAACTCTGAGCATGGTTTCTGCCAACCTGGGAGTGGCACAATTTTTTCTACAGACCCTTGCTCTTCTCTACCTCCAGCCCTGGGTCTATGTATTCCCCTGGTGTCCTCAAGTCCAAAGTCTCTCCTTGGATTATGCAGAGATGGGAAGATGTGGGGGAACTGAGGTCCAGCCGTTTTGTGTGCAGACTTTGACCAGTCACCTCATTGTCAGTGCCATGCTTTGTTCTGCCTTGTGCAACCCCTGGTGCTTTCAAATTCTGAGTGGCTTCAGGTTCCTGCAGACATATTGGCTCACTTTTCTAGAATATCCCCGCTATAGGAGTGTAGGCTGTGGCTGCCAGGAAACTCTATTTCATGTATTTTTTATCTTTTTAAAACATTTTGAGGCCAGGCACAATGGCTCACGCCTATAATCCCAACACTTTGGGAGGCCGAGGCAGGTGGATCACCCGAGGTCAGGAGTTCAAGACCAGCCTGACCAACATGGAGAAACCCTGACTCTGCTAAAAATACAAAATTAGACAGGCATAGTGGTGCACGCCTGTTATCCCAGCTACTGGGGAGACTGAGTCAGGAGGATTGCTTGAACCTGGGAGGCAGAGGTTGCGATGAGCCGAGATCATGCCATTGCACTCCAGCCTGGGTAACAAGAGCAAAACTCTGTCTTTAAAAAAAAAAAAAAAAATTGAAATCTCTAGTCTGCTCATGTGTCTACAGTTAGTTTTTTCCCCCTGTGATTTAATATCTTTTGCTTTTCTTTTTACTGTCTTTGTCTTTATTTTGTGGAATTTCAGGAGGAAAACACAGTGGCCAATTCACCATGTTTAACTGAGGATAAAAATAGGAATAATAGAATAGTGGGTATTGATGTTCATCGAGGGTTTCCTCTATATCAGAATGGCCTCAAATTCCTTCTTCCATAGATCATCTCTTCCTTTTCCTAGATTTCTTCTGAGAACCAGGGATCTGCCATGCTGCCATGTCAGCTTTAAGCCACTGTAGACCAGTGGATAGAAAAGCCCTGCTTTTCAGAGGGCAGTTATTCCTATCTGTTTCCCTTGTGACTTGTATGTGTTCAGGTTTAGTAAACTTTTATTAAGCACCTACTGCATACTAGGCAGCATGCAGTGCTTTCACTAACTTGACTCAATCCTTGTTGCAGCCCTGGAGGAGGTGGGTATTACTTAGATGAGCAAACTCACGTGCTTGGATACTGAGACTTCTTCAAGGCTGAATAGCCAGAGCCTAAAATTGTGCCCATTTTCATAACCCTAGTGGTGGATGGATCTCCAGTCATTTTGGAAATGTGATTTGTGCTTTTTTTTTTTTTTCCCTCATTAAGACTTCTCTGGAGGAGTAGAGTGGGGCGGGGGGAGGGGAGCGGAAGGAGGGTGGGGAGGGCGGGAGGGGGAGGAACGGGGAACTGGAGAGATTAAGTTTTTGTGCGTGTGTCCCTGTGTGCGTGTGTCATTTTAAGGTGGCTCAGGAGCAGCCCAGAGGAGCCAGCGGCGACCCGAGTAGCGAGGAACCGAACCGGGAGCCGTGCCGCGCTGAGCGGGGGCCACACAGCCGCAGCCCCGGGTGGAATGGGAGGGGTGGGAGCCGCCGCCGCCTCCAGGGCGCCTTTCGCTGTGGACGCTGACCTTCCGGGAGGAGGGTTTCATCACCTTAAATGGCTTTGAACCAATGAAACTATTCTCTTAAAAAGACAGACAGCCCATCGTGTGAACTAGAGTTTGTGGACAGATTTATATTGGGTTCATAGTGGCGTCATGCATGCAGACTCCTGCGAGTTCCCCTAAGTTCTTAGAGGACTGCTTTGCAAAAAGCAAAAAACTGCTTTTTTTTTTTTTTTTTTTTTATCTGAGAGTTGCAAGGTTCCATAAAGAATGGTCCCTTGTGGATAAGCACAAAGTCAAGAGACAGTGATTGGACAGAATTTGTGAAGGTATCCGCCCCCAGATCATGAAGGACCCCCTGCACCCCCGCCCCCTGGTGGCACTGCTGGATGGCCGCGACTGCACTGTGGAGATGCCCATCCTGAAGCATGTGCAGTCCACGCAGGAAATCCACGAGAAGGTTCTAAATGAAGCCGTAGGTGTCAAGATGTACCACACCATCACCCTCACCAGGGAGGACCTGGGAAAGTTCAAGGCTCTGAGAGTGATCCTGCGGATAGGCAGTGGCTATGACAACGTGGACATCAAGGCTGCCGGCGAGTTCGGAATTGCTGTGTGTAACAACCCGTCTGCAACCGTGGAAGAGACAGCGGACTTTACCATCTGCTATATCCTCAATCTGTACCGGAGGAACACGTGGCTGTACCAGGCATTGCAGGAAGGCACGCGGGTTCAGAGCATGGAGCAGATCCACGAGGTGGCCTCAGGAGCGGCACACATCCGTGGGGAGACGCTGGGCCTCATCAGCTTTGGTTGCACCGGGCAGGTAGTTGCAGTTCGAGCCAAGGCCTTTGGATTCAGCGTCATATTTTATGACCTCTACTTGCAGGATGGGATCCAGCAGTCCCTGGGCGTGCAAAGGGTCTACACCCTCCAGGATTTGCTGTATCGGAGTGGCTGGGTCTCCTTTCATTGCAATCTCAACGAACATAACCACCACCTCATCAATGACTTTACCATAAAGCAGATGAGGCAGGGAGCATTCCTTGTGAATGCAGCCCGTGGTGACCTGGTGGACGAGAAAGCCTTAGCACAAACCCTCAAGGATGGCAGGATACGAGGGGCAGCCCTCGACGTGCATGAGTCGGAGCCCTTTAGCTTTGCTCAGGGTCCGTTGAAAGATGCACCGAATCCCCTCTGCACTCCTCACACTGCCTGGTACAGCGAGCAGGCGTCACTGGAGATGAGGGAGGCAGCTGCCACAGAGATCCGTTGAGCCGTCACAGGTCGCATCCCAGAAAGCTTAAGAAACTGAACAATGAATTCTTTGTCACATCAGCGCCTTGGTCAGTAATAGACCAGCAAGCAATTCATCCTGAACTGGATGGTGCCACATACAGATATCCTCCAGGCATTGTGGGCGTGGCTCCAGGAGGACTTCCTGCAGCCATGGAAGGGATCATCCCTGGAGGCATCCCAGTGACTCACAACCTCCTGACAGTGGCACATCCTTCCCAAGCGCCCTCTCCCAACCAGCCCACAAAACACGGGGACAATCGAGAGCACCCCAACGAGCAATAGCAGAGAATGCCAGAAGGTAATCATTCAGATACACTTGGGACCAAGAGACAGTGAAAAATAGATGAACTAAGAGAGAAAGAATCTTACGGTCTTTGTAACTGATTTTGGACATATACATCATTGATGTTGCGGTGTTAAAACTACAAGAGCTACAAACTGAAGATGCTGTCTGCTTATGGAAGTGCTAAAAGACTAGGATGTGATTTATTAACGACCAACTTCTGTTATTGTGTGTTAAGTTTTTCATCTGTGTATCAAATCACAAAGAATAAATAGAGCTTTTTCCTTTATCAGTCCCTTGGGCACAGCAGGTCCTGAACACCCCGCTCTACAATGTTGCATCAAGAGTTCACACAACAAAATAAAAAATAGTAAGAGGAAATCCCCATTCTGTGACGAGTCCGTTAAGTCTACAGGGGCTGGTGACCTCTTTTTGCTAATAGGAAAATCACATTACTACAAAATGGGGAAAAAACTGTTTGCCTGTGATAGACACCTGCACGCATAGGATTGAAGACGGTACAGGCTCCCGTACAGAGAAGCGTCTCTCACATCTGAACTGCATACTGAGTAGGCAGGTTGGTTGTAAGTTCAGTAAAACCCTCTGATGATGCAAAAAAAAAAAAAAAAAAAAAAAAAAAAAAAAAAAAAGTATTAAGTTTCACAAGCTGTTTGTACTCAAATATATTTTCTCAGTTTCAGATGCTCTGCTATTTTATTGAGTAGAAAGTCTTGAGCTAAAAGGGTTCAAGAAGAATAATGTTGCATTTCCTTATGTCTCAGGAAACATTTTTCTGGTAGCTTGTCAGATTGTCTATGAACAAACCCACTTTTTTAGACATTGATAAAGTCTTCTTTTCTTCACATGATATTTTATACAACAACACTTCAGATGTATTAGATGTGACTGATTTTAACAAATCCTATCAGATTTGTATCAAAATAGTTACATGTTCTATTCATAGTCTTTTGTGACTCATTGCCTTTTTGTTTTAAAAGATGGCCTATTTAGGTGCATTCCTGTTTTTGTGACAAAGGAAAACTTTAAAATTGTCCCAAACAGAAAAATAATGGCTATCAGAAGTATGTTTTGTTTTAGTGTGAGTTACCATTACTGTATTTGTTTATTGTAAAGGTGGACATTTGGTGTTCAGTACAGTTTTCAATAAAAAGTAATTAAAATTTGTTAAGTTCCGAAATTCAGGCACATCTCACTAACGTGAAAGTTCTCTACTTGAGATGTTTAAGGCAACTGCATTGTCAATTAGCCAATTTCCAACTCTTGTTACTGATAGGATTCTATCTGCCTGTTCCATAACCAGACTCAAGAACGCTGACAATTACTTCATGTGATACAAAGTTTAATTGAAAAATCAAAACTTCACACAAGTCCATCATTATCAAGTCATGCCATCCTTAAGATGTAATGGTGGGTTAGAGCTAAATCAATTCAAAAAAAAAAAACAAAGTTGCTCAACTTGTAGAGTTCTGATTTTAATTTACCCCAAAGCAAAATGACCTGGACCTGGTTCAAGGGAGGGAAGTGAACCTTGAAACTGTTTTGCCAATAACCTAACAAAATGATATTTACCAAGAAGTGTGGCAAAATAGTCCCATGAGTTAAGAACTTGAAGTTGATTTAATGAATCTTCTTTTTAAATAGAATTAAACCTTCATACAAAAAAAAAGACTTCTCTGCTCTTGAACTTGCTCGTCATAGTATAAAACAGACAAAATTAATAGGTGCAATGTTTTATTAATCTCATCTCCTTAATGAGTTCTGTGGTGAGTTTAACTCATTTGTGGTCCAGTCCTACTGTTATGGAAGTATGTGTGAATACTCATTTGTGCAATTATGTATTATTATATTCCTATCTGTGTATAAGTCTTTAATTTTGGAAAAATACTTTGCCTTTTACATTAACTTCATCCACAATATGAAGGGATTTTGACTCTTGGAGAAGTAGCAGATCCTATATTTGAGAACTTTCGGGAATAAGTTTGAGAAGGATGTTTTCAGACAGAATGTGACCAGAGAAGAGCCCCAGAGGGACATGTCTGAGGGGTGGTTGAAAAACTTGGTCATGTTTGTCAGAGAGGAAAGAAAATGCAGGCAGATCTGGTATGGTTTTCAAGAACATAAGGCACTTTTTATGGAAGAAGGAAGGACCTCACCTTCCATGTGGCTTCTACAGGCAGACCTAGGACCTGTGGTACAAGTTACGGGAGGATGAGGTCTGACTATTTGCGCTCCCTCAGAGGGAGTGAGGCCCCTGTCTCTGGAAGAGTTTAAATGGAGGCTCTGGACTCTGGCAGAGTGGACATGAGAGGCCACCCAGCATTTGGCTTAGACTTTCCTCCTATGACTTCTAAGTCTTCAGGTTTGGAGTTTGATAGAAATTAATATTTCTCTTTTGTCTTGCTGATTTCCATGGCAAAGCCTATAAGAACTTTTTGAGCTGTTTCTAAAATATCTTCCAAAAGCCATTTCTGAAACGTGCCTCCTTTCTCTTGCAGGAGAAAATGCAGAAGTTTCCATGGACGTTTCCCTGGCTTACCGCGATGATGCCTTTGCTGAGTGGACTGAAATGGCCCATGAGAGAGTACCACGGAAACTCAAATGCACCTTCACGTCTCCCAAGGTATGAGCCCTTGCTGTCTAAGCCAACAGAGTTTTTATCTGCTTCTCAGGTATGTGGAAAGATTTGTTTACTTTTCCTAGGTGTGTCCCTTCTTCGCATGAGGACAGCTTTGGTAATACCTGTTCTGCGGAGCATTTTCTTTCCTCTTCTCTCCTACCATGGGTCTTTCCTAACTTTGCTTTTGCCTATTACTGTTAAGATTTCCTGTGAAATAGTAAAAACATGAGGTTGAAGCCTCTGAGTACCTTGCCCCAGCTTTAGCCATTGTTTTCCTAAAGAGGAGAAAGATTGGGTGGTTTTATCGCTGACGGTGTGACCTCAGGTAAGCTTACATAATCTGTCTGAGCTTCAGTTTTTCTTCTGTGAGATGAGATAAGAGTACCTACCTTGGGAGTCTTTTTAAGGGCTAGATCAAGCTTGTCCAACCCGCTGCCTGTGGACCGCAGGTAGCCCAGGACGGCTTTGAATGTGGCCCAGGGCAAATTCACTAACTTTCTTAAAACTTTGTAAGATCTTTTTTTGATTTTTTTTTTAGCTCATCAGCTATTGTTAGTGTATTTTATGTGTGGCTCAGGACAATTCTCCTCCTTCCGGTGTGGCCCAGGGAAACCAAAAGATTGGACACCCCTGGACTAGATGATACAATGAACGTAGGCAGGATGACCTTATACTTTAACATCTTGTCTGGGACATATCTGAGAGTCAAAGTGGATATTAACCAGATGGGCCACTAGGAGAAAATGTATAAACTAAGGCCCTCCATGGGCAAACCTAAGGACCTGTTGCAGTGTTTTTCTGAAGCACTAGGGGAATCTCACTCCCCCAGGTTTCCTAGAACAAAGCTACAGTGTGTTCTGAGGACCAACAGTGGCAGCATCACCTGAGAGGTTTTAGGAAAGGCAGATTCCCAGGGCACACCCAAAACCTATTAAGTCAATGTCTCAGGGGATAGGAGCAAGGAATCTATGTTTTAACAGTCCTTCAGTTTATTACCTTAAACTCAATGAAGTTTGAGAGCCACTGCCCTAGACCCTCTGCTGAATGCTAAACTGGGGGTGGGGGAAAGGAAGGAGAGAGAGAGGAATCTTTCTTCTTAAATGCCCTAAATACTGGCAGAGGCAGGACTTTAGTGCTTGAAGAAAAGTCTCTACCAGGATACAACGAATTTGTCTCCGAGACAGGAAGGTTGAGCCAGTGTCCCAGATGCCAATGTGTCTCTTTTCCTTTGAACTTCCGTAAATTTGTGTCATGGGTGACCATGTTACTCACTCCATAGTGACAGGGAAGTGTGGGACACCCAGAGACCCATCATGGGGGATTTCATATCTCAATTTCCACAGGGCTGTCCTCCAGAGAAAGCCATTTGTAGGTAGAAATGAGTGATAGACAGAAACTAGAGGAAGCAGGAGGGAGGAATAGCTAACATTTTCAGATCTTTGCATGCAACGGAGAAAATTAATTAAAAATCTTTCTAGCTGTCTCTGCAAGTTGACTGCATCTTTGAAACACTGGTTGAACATCTAAGCTAGATGGCTTTTGGATGCAGAATTGTATCCTTAGAAAAGGGAAAAGTCATTTCTCTTATTTATACACTTGGAGGGCACTGAGTAGTGTGAGGGGGAAGGGTGTTTGCCTGCAACTGCTTCTTAATGACGGTTGCTTAATTATCTTTAGGATGTGTTGATCCCTTGCAAGAAAGATATTAAACCTTGAAAGGTGCGAAGGAAATGAATCATCAAGTCTCTGCTTTTTGATTGCAGTGAAATTTAGTCTTGACTCTCAAGATTAAATGAGAAATTGCTTTAAAGCTTTTCAGTCCCTGGTGGATTGTGAAGCTGAAAAAAAAAAAAAGTCAAGTTGCCACCTGCTGTAATTTGTCCTAATTAGCCAGTCTCATGCTGGAGTTGGGGGAGAACTGGGGGTGGGGGAAAGGAAGGAGAGAGAGAGGAATCTTCCTTCTTAAATGCCCTAAATACTTCAGTGCTTGAAGGAAAGTCTCTACCAGGATACAACGAATTTGTCTCCGAGACAGGAAGGTTGAACCAGTGTCCCAGATGCCAATGTGTCTCTTTTCATTTGAACTTAGGTAAATTTGTGTCATGGGTGGCCATGTTACTCACTCTGTAGTGACAGGGAAGTGTGGGACACCCAGAGACCCATCATGGGGGATTAGAAGTGACCCTGGAGATCATCTTACTTACCTTTCTCACTTAGGAAGAAACTGAGGCCAAATGAGGCAGGGTGACCCAAGGTACCCAGCAAGGAACATGGTCAGGACTAGAATCAGAGCCTCCTGGCCTGGAGTTCAAGTCTTTATCACAGCACAACGCCTGCCTTTGGGCAGGGCCCATGTCCTTCTCCCAATTCTGCTACTTTTGGGACCCTGGGCGAGACACACCAGATGGTATTAGACTAAGTAGGTTTTATTCCCT